AGATGGAGATAGAGATGAAGAAGGAGGGAGATGAGATGGAGGATGAGGAGAAGGAGATGAAGAAGGAAATGGAGGAGAAGAAGGAGAGGGAGATGAAGGAGAAGGATATGGAGGAGATAGAGATGAAGGAGGGTGATGGAGATGAGATGGAGGATGAGGAGATGAAGGAGAAGAAGCTAGAGATGAAGAAGGTGATGGAAATGAGATGGATGAGGAGGAGATGGAGAAGGAGAGGGAGGAGAAGGAGATGGAGATAGAGATGAAGGAGGGAGATGAGATGGAGGATGAGGAGAAGGAGATGAAGAAGGAAATGGAGGAGAAGAAGGAGAGGGAGATGAAGGAGAAGGATATGGAGGAGATAGAGATGAAGGAGGGTGATGGAGATGAGATGGAGGATGAGGAGATGAAGGAGAAGAAGCTAGAGATGAAGAAGGTGATGGAAATGAGATGGAGGTTGAAGAGATGGAGAAGGAGAGGGAGATGAAGGAGAAGGAGATAGAGATGAAGGAGAAGGTGATGGAGATGAGATGGAGGATGAGAAGGAGATGGAGAAGATGGAGAAGGAGATAGAGATGAAGGAGAAGCTGATGGAGATGAGATGGAGGAGAAGGAGATGAAAGAGAAGGAGAAGAGAAGACAGTTGGTTTTGCTCATGGGGTTCATATCTAGAATTTGGAAGGGCCCAATCCCAAAGCTTCAGCTTCAGCCCACGTTGTTGCTGCTTACAAGATCCAGACCAGAGGGAATCTTTCAAAAGAAAATTCAGATCTAACCGAGACGGTCCAATTTTGTCCGTTCCTTTGCAAATGGCCTCGCACACCTATAACTGCAACCTCTCTCTCTTTTAAGGAGTCTGAAGCCTCTTCAGCTATTTATAAGAGGTATTTCATCACGAGATCTCTGCACGAAGGAGCACGTTCTGTTTAAAAATATATAGTATATATACATAATTGAATTCCGTGTTAGGGTGTGAAAGAAGACAAGCACAAAAGTCACCGACTTGGGAGGCGTTGATTTTATTTTTTTTATTTAAAGATTACCTATTATCTCAACCTTCGTAGCCTCTTTGTACTCTGTGGTACTCCAAAGCCCATTATACTTATTATTCGCTTTTTTTTGCATCTTTCAGCTTTTTTCTTTTTTTTTTTTTTTCAAATTTTTTTTTTTTTTTTTCAACATAAAAAAAAAAAAACACATCACAAGTACATCACAATTGAAGACCCTCCCCCCCACCCCCCACCCGGACTTCCCAAACCTAATCCCAGGATACTATTCATCTAAAAGTAACCTTATATTAATATCCCTAACTCCACAAAGTGTAATTCTACATAAGTAGGTGAAATATATATATATGTATAAAAGGAGAAAAATTTTTATCTAAAAACCTAACCTATATTCCACCATTCTATGCTTATTTTGAATATAAACAATCCATCTTCTCCATATTGATAAAAATTGTTCATTTGAGTGATCCTTCAAATAAGCCGAAATCTTTGCCATTTCAGCAAGATGCGAAACCTTCACTCTCCAGTCCTCTATTGTAGGTAAAGCTTTACTCTTC